ACCGATCTCTATTCAGGATCTACGGCACAGGAAACAGCCGTCGCATTTGCAACTCGCGCCCTCGACAAGCAATTTGCATAAACGCGACGCCACAGCTTGAGGTCATCTCTTGTCACATTCAAAATGGCTGCCATCACCAGACGTTTCACGAGTGCATATGGGCTCCAGAAAGATTGAAGAATATCTCGGAAAATGGAACATCATTAGACCTAAGCATACCAGAAGTGATAGGTGAGACATCATAGAATACAACCATAAGAAAGTAAGGGAAAAGTTCCATACTCGGACGTCAATTTATCTGCTGCCAAACATATTAATTGTCACCTCACCTTGTCATTTGAACCAAGAGAAATCCAGGAAGCTGTGTTAAGGTGAAAAAAATTTACTCAAAATGTGTTTTTAGAGCACATTTTGGATGCATACGTCGTGCAGAACTAACTTGAAGCAGCCGGTCAAAACTGATTGTAGTGGCTGAAAGACAGCGGTACGTTATACACGTGACATCAACAACCATGACGTCGCATGAGCCTGCCAATGATAGTGCAATACGTCATTATGAATATTTATTTTCTCATGAATATTTAGTTTATTTCAATGGATACTTCAAATACGTCCAAAGATTGATTATTGCAACAGCGATCGTGCGCGGCCTAGCGGTTAAGAGTCTCGTGTATCAAGCAAGCGTCAGAGGTTCGAATCCCGATGAAGTAACTGACTGATTAATAAATAGAAATTAAGGAAAGGAGAGGGTGAAAGTGGAGGTATAAAAGATGTAACTTTTGGCGCTAGAAAATTAATTGAAAAAAGTGACGTCCGAGTACGGTATTTTTTCCGAAAGGAAGAAACTGAGAAAGTAAGAAACGGACCGCAGATTTTATGGAAACTTCGTCCTCAGTAGCGCGCGGTACCACGGTGTGTGGCCAGAGGTTCAGCGCAGCATACCGACGGCCACACTAGTGGGGCTAAGCTAATGTTAGACCCGTGAACGTGGCTTGTAAACTACGCCACGTTCTTGTTTCATTTCGAACCTGGCGAACGTGTCCCTCTGACACGTGTCCCTCCGTTACACACACTGGACGTTATTTTGCCCATGTAATAAGTACTCACATATGAAGCTGTCTTGAATTCTATTTGTACATCAAAACTTGCATTTGACGAAAATTGAGGAAAATTCTGGCCCCGGTTCATGAAGTCCGTCCGCTACTACCGAGTCCGCTACTGCTAGCTGCCATTTTCTCCCAACTGACACATGCGCATTGCGTTTTATTTTCGTATGATTCGACGGCTGTTTACTGTCGCAGCTAAAACAGACATCGTTTTAGACAAGTTTCAAGTCCTTTCCTCTCTCACCGCACCGCACGCGGTCGCACGTGCGCCCACGTGTGTGTGCACACACGTACTGTACACGAGATGAGCCGAGCAGCCAATCGTCTGCGGGGTTTTTTTTTCGGGGTTGCGACATGAAACAGCCGTCAATCTGTCCAAGCGACTCAGACGCGTCCGGGGTTATTTGTCAGGGTCAGGTTAAAATCTCATTTCTACACGTTTGTATGGCTATGGGTCTTTACTGATGGGCAAATTTCGTCGAAATTACACAGCCGAAACAATCGGACGGGCAAATTTAGATTTCTAGGTGAGTACTCAACACCCATACGGAATTATGTATGTCGGATCGATTTCGCCAGGTTCGAAATGAAACAAGAACGTGGCGTTGTATACAACGCCACGTTCACGGGTCTAAGCTAATGTATGAGGCTACGTGGAGGGTAATCCTTACTTTTAGGACCCCTTTCCTATATAAGGTTAAAAGACTCACCAAAACAGCTGACTATGACACTCAAAAGTGACATTCTGATATTTATTGACACATTTGAACATTTGGCAATGACACCTCTTGAATATCAGCAAGTTTGATTTTGTAGAAAGAGGGCAGGGTTTTGATTTATGAGGGGTTAAAGACGACGATGACAAACAGAAAATAAATTTAAAAAGCAAGATGGCGAACTGCAAAAAAAGGTAGGAAAGTCACATTTTCTTTGAAAGTGCTTTCAAAATTATAACTAACATGAGTTTGTCTGAAGAAAAAAGACTTCTTTGCAAAAGTCACTTTGGTACTGGACAGTCATCTGCAAAAGTCAGTTTTGAACAGAACTCGTACAAAATAGAGGTGTCCTAAAAGTAAGGATTACCACGTGGAGCCTCATCTGCTCATACTTCTAGGAGTAGGTAGTCCAGTAAATAGGCCACATTTATAGGGCTAGCATGGCTAGGGAAGCGACAAATTTTTTTAAAGAATAACATGATAAAAAGGAAGTGTCCTCAACTACACAAACCCGATCATGCCGATACGCTGTTCGGTCATGTCGGTTTTTTTAAGTTGACCGGTTGCGATATGGAACTTAAACATGTCCAAAATACACTCCCTGGATTTTGTTACATAGGCCCACTATCATGGAAAAGGCAAAAGTCAAAATGTCTTCTTCTATTTATACTTCAATCAAGGCCTTGGTATTTTTTTTTTTAAATTAATAGATGAAAGGGACTTGCCAGGGCGTAAATCGTACCGTCTTCTCCACGTGCAAGACGCCAATGTATTCAGCAACACGGCAAGGGTCTTGAGCTCGTGTTCTTAACACAGTATTCCAGGGAATAATCAGAATGGTCACCAGACTAGTTTCGTAGTTATTTCAGGTACTGACGAGTGGTGGCGCCCTGTAGATTAATAGACACGAGCTAGCTAGCTCCGGTCGGACTTTAAAGTTGTTGGCTGTAGTTGAAGTGTGCGCGCGTAACACGAAATGCCTGTTAGTGTTAGAGTATCGAGGTTTAGGGTCCGTTTTGTGAAGAACGGGCAAACTAAGTCGTTCTGAACTGTTGCCTATTTTATTTAATAACTAGAGCAATAAATGAATCTAAAAATTAATGTGGCCTGACGTTGCGAACTTAGCAAGTTCTTCTTCAGAGGCTAAAACAGAAATGACAGAGGTACAAACATTAACAAGGGGGTGCACACAAACATGCAGGGATGAAAGAAGAAACACAAAAGGAGGATTAGGTGGGAAAGGTGTGGAAAGATGCAGGGGAGGGTGGATGAGAGAACAAAGAAACAAAGGGAGATGGCAAACCACAAGGGGTCTGGTATGAACAGGGGAGGGACCAGAAAGGGGAAGGATCAAAGGTCACAGGGAGTGGGAACGGACAAAAGAGTGTGGGAGTGAAGGGGGATTATGCCGGGGGGGGGGGGGGGGAACAGTATGGAGGTGGAAAGGGATGAAAGATGGTGGAAGATGGGTAAACACAAACAATGAAGACCAGGTGGATTATCTGTAACAGAAGACAATGGAGGAAGAAAAAGATTAATCATTTCCAAGTTGGATGTTGAGACCATGTGGTTGAATAGTTCGAAGACGATTCATCCACACTTTCTCTCTGCTGAGGCGAACTGAGTCCTTGCGATGGCCAAGAAATTCAATGCCCTGCAAAATCATATCAGAAATGGAGTGGTTAGGCAGGTTGAAGTGATGACCAACAGGGGTGTCTAGTTTCTTGGTGTTAACCGTTGACCGGTGGGCATAGAAACGCTTCTTGAGCGTATTCTTAGTCTCACCTACATACTGCAATAAAGAGCAATAAATAGAGCAATAAATGGTACAACAAACTCTCATGATTTTTTTTGGGGGGGGGGGGAGCGGGGATATGGGGTTTGCAACTTAATTGCTGACGGTTTCAATTTTTTTGTTTTTCAATAAAACTAGGGCAAATGTCGTTACACCCGGACACAAGCCGAAACTAAAGCTACATGGTTGTTTTATATTTAAATCTAATCACAAGTTAGTCTAGGAGGGATTTAAGCTTTATAATTTGGCAGGTAAACTTTCAATTACATACAGACCAACTGTAGTGTTTATTTTGCTTTAAAATCTTTATTCCTCACAGGAAATCCAACTTATACATAAGACATTATTTACATGTGTCTGTTGTAACAAAGAAAAACAAACTTCGGTATTAGACTAATATATAGAAAAGTTATACAACACTTTTTCATAACCATTAAAATAAACCATGAACCTTGCATTAAGTAGAGCATATGTTTCTCCCTCACTCAAGTGAATCAATCACAATACAATAGAAAATGATAATCAGTAGACAATGTTTGTAATCTGCTAATGACAATTCAGTCACTGAACACAAACGGTGGAATTTCACTTTTGAAATGAAACCTTGACAAAATTAAATGGCCTGACAATAATTTTCGAATTTTTAAAGTATAAATAAAATCATCGAAAGTGAAAATGTGCATGTACGTGTTTAGGCTTACTCCTTTGAAATAGCCACTGATATCCAGCCCAACCTTTTTTTTTAACGAGATGGGATTTGTTAGTCTTTCTTCAAGGGTATGCATTCCAAGCTAGTATCAGGCTTACATCTCCGAAACAAAATACATTGTACCCAATAAGCCATTTGCGAGTGACCTATACCCTTTGGGTATAAATTTGAAAAACATCTGGTACACTGACTTGCTCAGAATGCTTGGCACATTTGAACTGAATTCACCAGACCAAAGACACTGTTACTAATCACATGATTCGGGGCAAGCTCTTGCATAGTTATGTAAGAGATGCTCTGCACCAATACATTGTTCACAATGGGTGAGAATGGCACAAAGACACCAGACCATGCCGGAGCTGGGGGTTGCTAGCATAAGGCTTGCCCCGAATACATGATATAGTAACAGTCTCTTTGGTAGGGAGAATGCAGAGTTAAAACGTGCAAAGCACTGGATTTAGTCAGCGTTAAAAATTGTATCCAAATGTAACTTGCAAATGGCTTATTGTTACTGAAGAAAAGAGGGCAAACTTTGTAGAGGCTGTGGTTTCAACAGGTTAATATACCTTGTGCATTAAGGTAAAGTTAGAGGGCAATTGAATTCTTCTGTATTGCATGGACAGGCATGACTATTCATTGTTACTAAATTAAAACATTAATAACAACACCCTATTAGACACCTGCAACACACAAGTTCTATTTGAGGGGAATGACTATAAAGCCCAACCTCGGATTCCTTCCGTCTTTAATACAAATGTTGATAAACAAGATAAAGAAATGTTTTAACTGGAGTTTAAAAAAAAAATGTAAGACCCAAGAACATAATAATTGTAATAACTTAATAATTTGGGAGGGGGGCTAATTACCCTTACTCGCAGCTGTGAAGCTGAATTGCGAAAGACGTGGTTACATCTTGGTCGAGCCGAAGGCATGTGAAGGCACCTACTGCTACTGCCATACTACCCATTTATGACCAGGGAGCTAAGCTGAGATCCAAAGTGTTTGATTTTCACGAAAGAGGGAGGAAAACCAGAGGACCCACACAAAACTCCTTGTGGCAGGAGAGAATCAATGCACAACTCTACTCCCATATGGTCAAAGCCAGGAATCGAACCTGGGGCACACTGGTGAGAGACTAGCACTTTACGCACTAGCCACCCATGCCAGCCATGCATGTAAAGAACCTCACTGCACACGGACTTGGTGATTCTGACGTGTGTGATGAATTCAGTACATACAAATCCAACCGCCCAATACATACTCAAAAACACTGTGAAATTCAATGGTTAATTCCTTTTACAAAAGTGAGTCTCCGTTTGACATAAAACCCAGCAGTTTAAATGTAGATTTTATCTGCATGTTTGGGAAAACTTCGATCTAACACTTATATTACCACAGAAGACTTGTTTACATACATGTATTTACATAAAGTGGCCAACAGATTAACACAGGGAGGGACTAGCCAGTTTCATCTGCTTCTTGTTCTACTTCGGCAGTTTGCTGCTCTCCATCACCTTCTTCCCTCTCATCTACAGCCTCTGCCTCAGGTTCATCAGTTGCTCCTTCCTCATCACCCTCCGCATCTTTCTCTTCTTCTTTATCTCCTTCCTCCTACATGAACAATATGTATACACCACTTTAACATGAGAACTACACACTTTGGTGGCACAATTGCTAAACTACAGGTATTCATTGCCTCTTGCCATAGAGTACCAAAGTGAGCCACGTATTCTGGTTCAGCTTGTATGAAGACATCAGCATGCGAATCAGTGTGTGAACCAGAACAAAGACAGATGGCATCAGTTCTCCATTGTGCATCTTTACAAGGGTGGAAGAAATACATTATCTTCAAACTATTTTGAATCCTCGATCCTGATTGGTCGATCCATGGCAACAACACGTATCACTCTTATACAACCACAGGTATAACGCTATTCTTAAATGTGCCTGCTGGTCCTGTTGTACACAACTGTTTGTGTACAGCATCACCATGCAAGAACCTTATTTGTCATGTGTCAATTTTGCTTGATAAATTGATTATCCCACTGGGCTCGTGGGAAAACTAATAACATATGTGCTGCGTTCAAGCTAAATGAGTCATTTGTCGACCCCTGTCCAAATTTGGTTTATTACAGATTTGAAAAGAGCACAATCTCAGCATTACTGCTGTGAAAACCGCATGCTGATACCATCGTTAGTTTAAAAATTATGGAAGTCGGAACCCCAAGAAATGTGATGAAGTGATGTGACGAAGTGGTCCTATTTTGGCCTGTATCTCCAAATGAAAATTCCCGACAAACGACTCATGTAGCTGGTCGCATCACATATGTGCTGCGGTCAAGCTAAATGAGTCGTTTGTCGACCCTGGTAAAAAAAAAAAACATTTTTATTACAGATTTGAAAAGAGCACAATCTCAGCAAGTTATAAATACCGCTGTGAAAACCCCATGCTGATACCATCTTTAGTTTAAAAATTATGGAAGTTGGAACACCAAGAGATGCGATGAAGTGATGTGATGAAGTCGCCCTATTTTGGCCAGAATCTCCAAATGAAAATTTCTGACAAACGACTAATTTAGCTTGATCGCATCACATATGACCCTTTCTTTGTGTCTGCTGTCGAAATGTACCTTCCTGCAAATCTGAATGATGTTTCATTAAATGCCATAATCAGACTGCTTAATTCAATGATTACCATATTCGCCTACTTCACTGCAATATTTCACCAAAGGTGTCAGCAGAAGTATGCACTTTTAAACCCTTGCAAGTTTCTTAATTGTCACCCTACTTTGGTTTCTACTTGTCCATTGCCTTCTTGACCCACTGGCTCTTCCTCTTGTTGTTCTTCCCCCTCTGGAACAGTCTCAAGGTTTGGGGCACCTGGGAGATTGCTCCGTTCTTTAGCTAGTGTTGTCTTGTCTTCTTCCACAGGTGCTTCTGGTGGTGGTTCCTCAGCCTAAAGAACAGGAACATTTTGAGTTTCAGAGGAGGGCTGTTCTAGAAGAGTGTCTGTAAACCGCAATTTCATATAATAAACCCTTATTTAACAAAAAACAACCTTGACACCGAGTAGTGAAATTAAGATGTACAATTGCAGAGGGAAAACAGCCACTCTTTTTATCATTAGTTTACACAGCAGGATAAAATTTGATCTCAAATTTATAACCACAGGTTTGACTTTGGCACTATACTTTGACTGGCCCACATCTACTGCTATGATCACCAACTCTACTCAAATTGTTTTGAACAGGCTGCATCCGGCCCGAGTCTGCTGAGGGCTAAATGTTACCTTCTTGGCTTCAGCTTCCTCTTGAGCTAGTTTCTCTGCTTCTCTTCTCATGATTTCTTGTTGAACTTTCTCTTTCTCAGCTTCCTCCCTCTCAATGATTAGTTGTTTACTTCGAGCTTCTTCCTGTTGGGGGGGTGGCAAAATCAATGCTAGAGATCTTACTACAGGTCGCATCCAAATCTATTGTCTAGGTCCTCGTCCATTACGACTTTTTGGGACAATAGACATAGCTGTAGAGCTCACTGGATCCCAATTTCAAACACAACCTTGGTGATGTATCTTATTTTCAAACTGTGGATTATGGGTACACCCATTGCGTTGTTTGCTACATCAGTGAGTTACACAGCCAAAAATTATGGAGAATCAAAGTGGCACATAAGATCTTGTTGCTTACTGTCTAAAAAATGTATTGGTTGAAGATTTTATGAATTTTCATGTTCATCTTCAATGGCCTGTTACACAATGAACATTGAATAATTGAGCTGTTTTAAGTACCTCAACTGCATAGCGTTCATTGTCTTTGAACTTGTAGAGCCACTGTGCGATGTACTCAATTGGGTCCATGGGCCGTTTCTCAGCAACTTCAGCCAAGGCGCTGGTCAAGCAAATGCCCAAGTTCCGCTTCAGATATTCTGTGTCCATGATGTACTTCAGAGATGGGCTTTAGGTTTCCAACTTTTTTTTTATCTGCATGAGAAGGATTTGTCACAGAAAAAAACTGAGTGAAAGGTATTTATATAAAGGTTTATTTTCTTCTAATAAGCCTTTTTGCTATTTCAACTACATGTGCACACAACAAGAGTTTAGGGTTTTTTTCTGCAAGATAAAAACAGCAGATGAATGTGCACACAAGTATGTGTGGGACATGGTAACCGAATCTGCATTCTGCAATTTTTCATCTAATCAAAAAGAAGATGGAAAGTTTTGTTCGCACAAACGTTGAAATAAACAAAACATTTAAAACCAAGGTGCCGTAAAAGAATTCAAAAAACAAGAACTTTTATTTTATTTTTACATGTAGCTGCTATGATTTGCACGCGTGTGGAGAACTGTTTAGGCCTAAAAAAAAGTAATAAATTTTTTTTTCTTTTTGATGCGCTGTACCTAACACTAACAATACCTGAGCCACACTAGTGGAGCTAGGTAGTCAGGTAAGGGTTGGCTCATAAGTCCGACGCCTCATAGGTCCGACGCCTTATAAGTCCGACAAAATCACATCCCCCAACCAAATAAAGGCCCATAAGTCTGACGCCTCATAGGTCCGACGCCTCATAAGTCCGACGCCTCATAGCTCCGACACCTCATAGCTCCATCGCCTCATAGATTCAACGCCTCGTACTCTGCATTTTTCCGACGTCGGACATATGAGGCATCGGACTTATGAGGCGTCGGACCTATGAGGCAGAATAAATAAATGTTATGCCTCATAAGTCCGACGCCTCTTAAGTCCAAAATTTCGGACTTATGAGGCGTCGGACCTATGAGGCATCGGACTTATGAGGCTCAATACTTTATACTATGAGAATCCCAAAACTTAAGATATTGAAAACATGCAATACAAACTAGATAGGCATATTTATAGATACTAAGATAGATAGATAGATAGATATTTATTTCCATGTTGTCAATTTGTATAAGGCCTAAATACAAGTTCGTAATAAAATACAAATAAATAATATTTAAATTGGATAGTGGGAAATACAATTATAGTAGTAGGCCTATTAAGGAAAAGAATATTTAGGCCTAAGTATTTCCTAACACTTGGCTTCACTCTCACTCTCAGTTGCAAAATATTCAACAAAAGTCTCCTTAAATAATTGAATTTAGACTTCAAGCTTGGTTGGTGAAATATTGAGGACGTTGTCTTTGCCTCTTGGAAATTTTAGAGAATATCGTCAGCCAAAGAGAGTGGGTAAAGTTGGCCTGATTTCGTTTTGCATGTTTTCAGCACTCAGCCATTGCAATGAATCAGCACTCATTCAATAATCATATGTTTCCAAATAGGCCTAATTAATAATTATTCTCAAAATGACAAACAGCTACCACTACCAGGCTACTGTCAGTGTCAGGACTACTGTAGCCATCCCTACAATTTACAAATTGGGTTACCTCGATAGAACTATGGGGTGAACAACAACTGGCAGTGTCACTAGATTATACTTGAATGAAGTGAACGACCAACTCGCTAGCTTCCTGTATAAATTGTATACAAAACTGGTACCGTACACAATGAACTATGCATTGGACGTACGTCCACGGCCGGCCACACAGCTGCTTGAGTGCACGTGTGCACAAAGGTCGTTGCCAAGCATGTGTTTACAACTTCGGTATGACAAATTTAAAAGAAACAAATCAAATGGAGTGTATTATTACCTAAAACAACGTCAAATAGTTACATTAAAATACGTAACTCCAAAATATTTACACATTTGACACAAAAAAATGGATTGAATTTTAAAATAATGGAACATTTCAGTATTTCTTGGTTCTCAGTTTAGAACGAGTATTGTCCTGATTAGACTGGCTACCTGTCCGTCCGTAGTCGCTCGCTGTGCTTGCCGCGCACTCGCCCTCTGCTCTGGGTGCGTTCGTTTAGCTCACCCGGGTCGACACGGGTAAAGGCAGACGGGTCAGCCACGACAGCCGGGCTGGCTATCGCTAATCGAACAACCGCTGGTCATTACGATCCTCACGTGACGTCCTTAGCCGTGGCCGTAGCCACTGAGAAAGCGCCCGTTTCGGATTGGGTCTTATTTTGAGATTTACTGCTTTTGCAAAACTCAAAAACGTTGGGCTGAAATTATAGCCTCAAAAGTCAAAATGATTATCGTCAGACCCCTAAAAGCTGCGCGCTCCTATTTCTGCGCACTCGCCTTTAAGTTATATTTTGCAAGGTATGCATCCTAACAAAATATATATATACTTTTCACTGGTATCGTTGATGCACGAACTTTAACCAGCAGCCGAAAAAATGTGGAAATTGATGGCTTTCTCTGGAATTCAGGCAAAATATGAAAACAATCTGCTTTTGACAGCTAACTACAAATGCAGGCATGCAGATGCTTCCGGGCCTGCAGAACTTGAAGTCGAAAATATGACCGTACGGTGACTTTTATTGGTCTACCACTGTCGTCAGTATTATAGTTAAGATGTCATAGATAAGACTTTGCACAGGTTTTACAGGGGTGTATAAAACTTACAGTGCAACCAAAAAGACACTTCTTATATTATTTTGGATTTTTTGGTCAAAACTTTTAAAATCTGACATCTTGAAAATTGTCTCTGTTGATTGGGATGATCAGAATAACAATATTATTGGGATCTACATTATTTTAATAGATGAATATTAATTTAAAAAATTATTTATGTAAATATGTAAATAAAGACCTTTGTAATTATTCAACCATTAGGATATTGACATTTAATCTTGAAATTATGAACGTGTATTGGCATTGGAAAAAAAGAAAGGAAAAAGAAAGAAAATATGTTTGAAAAGCTCTAAGTTGTTTAAAAAAATGTTTATATCGAGTTACATGGTCCAGACAGCACAGATTTTGGATGAAGCATCCAAAACTGCATGCTTTGGAATTCCCTGGTTGTCGCCACAAATGAGATTTCGCTTTGTTAATCGGTATGGTGGATGATTGTAAGCCAACAATGTAAGTTTCGTTGAGGCGGAAAAGAGTGGTTGCTTTGCTACCTTTATACCTGGTTGCAAAGCCTAGTGCGCAGAAATAGGAGGATCGTCCAGAATACCTTTAGACTTGAAGTCAACTTTTAAGTCCACTTGAGATTTCTGCTGTCCGGCCGCCATTGTCCGTTTCTAGGGAATGAACACATGCGTGACGTACTGCCACCAGTGAGACTCTGCTCCACGGGCAGGGTCTGTGGCTGACCCGGGTCTGTGGCTGGTACGTCAGACGGCGCTATAGGATCTTTGGTCAGAGCTAATCGAACGGCAGGGGTGCTGACCCGGTGTCAAACCGGGTGAGCTAAACGAACGCACGTGTACGTAAACTGCATGCAGCTGCATGCCACGTTTAAAAAAAAAAAAATAGGCGCTCGCTTCAAGTTTTATCAAGCAGACTCGTTCCCAGTCCCTCAAGTTCTGGAGTAGAGAAGCAGCAATCATAAACAGATGATGGCCACTTTTCGGCTGCCTAAAAAACAATCGACTTTTTTCAGCTACGTGAAAGCATAGAATGGAAACTTCGAAAACGTTCGATCTGATTTTCTGCTCAACAGTAGCAGATGGGGGAGCCTTTAGTCAAGGCCACGCGGCTACCCGGGCACGTGCCGCACCCTTAATGCCGGTGTCATATGAAAATCAGGCTCGTATGAAAATCGGACTCTTTTTCCCTTTTATTGGTTAAACCTGTTGGGTCAGAATGTTTCGTTTGTGTAATATGCTAATTAGGTTAACTTGTTGTGTATCTGTATTCTTCGTCAAGAGAGGGCGCTATTGCACACCACCCTAAAACAAGTCAGTTGGGTTAAAACGTTTAGATAACGTCAAACTTTTCATGTCAACGTCACTTTTCGTCACGCAATTTGTTGTTTTGGACAGCCCAAAGTCGTAAGTTTAATAATTTCTAAATCCTTTTATATGATTGTAAGACATATATAGAACATGGCCATCTAGATATTTGTGGGATAAAAGTAATATTTCTGGGTTAATTTATTGGGGAAACTTTGTGTAAAAGTGTCATGTAAAAATGTGTGCATATAGACTTTAATATACAACATTACATGGGATTCGCACATGTCTACAGCTAATTTACCACTAACTGGACATTTGTAATATTGTTTTTGTGTATCAATCCTGATTTGTATTTGTTATTCTTTGTTTTGTTTATGTAGATTAAACCGTGTTACGTGTTACGTGCTTCATGCTTCATGTTTCGTGTCTACGTGATTAAAGATGCGAGTATACTGTTGCTGATACATGATTGTGTACTAGTCATTCGTCATTAAGTCAAGTTCACTGGAACTTTTAAGTGCCATCCTTTACATGAGTTTAATGACTGGGCTTTATAAGATTTGGACATTGTCATGAGTACTACTGAGACAGGAACGTCACGTCACGGTGAAAGCCGTTCAGCATCGGAGCATGGGGCCACATCAGACACCGGTGGACATGATGACCTCATTCGTCCACAAGATTCTGTGAGTCAATGCAGGTCAAAGGTCAGCAGGACATCAACATCAGTGACCGGTGCCAGAGTGAAAGCAGCTGCCAGAAAGGTTGCTTTAGAAGCAGAAGCGGCCATGTTGCATCAGCTGCAAGCCCTTGAAGACGAAGAGTTAAAGCTTCATCAAAGAAAGAGACACTTGGCCCTGCAAACAAAGTTGGCTATGGCAGAAGCGGAGGAGGCTGTGTATGCACTTAACGACAGCAATGAACATTGCGATACCTTCTCAGTACACGCATCAAACAACAGTGAAGTGCAGATTGCGACACCCCCACAGAGTACACCTGAAGTAGTGGATACATCTCCAGCATGTCAAACCACGAAGTTGGAGTTCGACGGAATGAAGGAACCAGATACGAAGCCAGAGGCTGAGACGACAGTGGATCCAAACAAGACATCAGAACCGGACAAGACAGTGGATCCAGTCAAGACAGCAGAACCTGACAGCGCGCACAAGAACAGTGAAACAACGGTTCTTGAGCTGGTGCAGCAGGGTCAAAAGCAGCAACAACGGCTGCTTGAGGTGATACAGCTGCCGAAAGCAGAACTTTTGACATACGATGGAGATCCCTTGCAGTATTGGGCATTCATAAGATCCTTTGAGAACAGTGTGGACAACTCCAATTTGGAGGACAGTGCTAAGTTGATTCGGTTGTTACAGTACTGTACTGGTAAGGCAAAGAAAGTGATACAGTGTTGTTCTGTGATGCAGCCACTTGAAGGGTATAAGAGGGCTAAGGCCTTGCTTAAGGAAAGGTTTGGTAACAATTACACGATTGCTGAAGCTTGGGTGAACAAGCTAACTGAGGGTAGTAGTATTAGCCCACATGACAAGAAAGCACTAAGAGAGTATGCAGATGATCTGAAAACCTGTAGGGAGACCCTTAATGCCATGGGTTACATTCAGGAAGTAAATACTCAGACAGTGTTGGTTACTTTGATTGAGAAACTGCCAAGTTACCTCCGTAACCGATGGATCAAGCAGGTTAGGGTAATTAGAAAGAAAACGACAGGTCACCCCAAATAGGGGATTTAGTAGAATTTGTAGAAGACGCAGCTGAAGAAGCTAACGATCCTGTATATGGTGCATTGAGTAAGCCAAAGGACAGATATGTTGTAACAAACAAGAATGTTCCGAAGTCCTCTGTAAGTCGTTATAGCAAAGGTAGTTACACCATGATGACAAATGCCAAACCTGGTAACATGACATGTGTATTGTGTAACGGTAGTCACACCTTGTTTGGGTGTACAGAGTTTAAGAGTAAGAAACCAGAAGACAGATTTGAATTTGCTAGGGCAACAAAACTGTGCTATAACTGTTTGAGACCTGGGCATATGTCAAATTCATGTACCTTAAACCGAGTTTGCTCTGTTGCAGGGTGTGGAAAAAAGCATACTAAATTCTTGCACCGGATTAAAACCATCCCCGTAGGTCAGTTTACCCCAAGAACTGAGGTCACGACGGCACCAGCAGAACCAGCGGCATCAGTGCAAAGTGGTTTCACCGACACAGAGGTTGACACGAGCTGTAATGTCACAGGGGTCGGCGTGATGGGAGTTGCGTTGCCCATTGTTCCAGTCAAGGTCAAGGCCAAGGGTAGTGGTGTTTGCATCGACACATATGCGCTCTTGGACAGTGGGTCCACGAGCACCTTCTGCACAGAAGAGTTGGCGAAGCGACTGAAACTCTGCGGTCAACAGCAGCAATTGTCTCTCACAACGTTGGCAGGGGCAAACGTGCAAACAGCGACAACTGTCATCAGTTTGACAGTTAGCGGTATCGACTGCAAACAACCAGTTGAACTTCCGTTGGTGTATACAAGACGTGAGCTCCCTATCCATGATGCCAACCTGGCCAAGCAAGAGGACATTGAAAAATGGCCTCACTTGCAAGGTCTCAAGCTGCCACAGGTTGACAAAGGTCGAGTACAGCTTTTGATTGGGCAAGATGTTCCAGAAGCACTGATGCCATTAGAAGTCAAGAAGGGTGAGAGGAATGCCCCATATGCGACAAGAACAGAGCTCGGATGGTCGCTGAATGGACCACTGGGAATGGCGAACAAGCACACAGCCACATCCAACTTCATTGCCGCCGACGACAGTTTAGAGAGACAACTTAAGATGTTCTGGAAGTTGGACACGACTGATTCCATTCATGATGACACCAAGGGGATGTCGGTGAAGGACAAGCAGGCTATTGCGATATGGGAAGAAAGTGTTCGTCTCACAGATGGGCACTACGAGTTGGCTATCCCATTTAAGAATTATCCTCCGCACTTGGTTGATAATCGCACTGTTGCGGAACGACGTCTTTTTTCGTTGGGCAAGCGGCTACAGAGAGACACACTACTGCACGCTAAGTACACTGAAGGCATGCAGGATCTCATCAACAACGGTTATGGAGAAAGTGTTCCAGAAGAGGAAGTTCATCCCTCAAACAGCACCGTGTGGTATCTCCCACATCACCTGGTGTACCATCCGAAGAAGCCTGACAAGGTTTGCATAGTATTCGACTGTGCGTCTAAGCATGTTGGAACATCACTCAACGACGAGGTGCTAAGTGGACCAGATTTGACCAACAAGCTGTTGGGGGTACTCTTGAGGTTTCGGCAAGAGACAGTGGCACTTATGGCTGATGTCCAAGCCATGTTCCATCAGGTCAAAGTCACTCATGAAGAGCGAGATGTCTTGAGATATCTGTGGTGGTCTGATGGTGACAGCTCTCGACAGCCGAGTGTGTATAGGATGACTGTACACCCCTTCGGTGGTACATGGAGTCCAAGCTGTTGCACCTTCGCTCTGCAACGTACCGCTGAAGATAATCGAGCAGACTTCCAACCTGACACAGTTGACACAGTCATGCGTAATTTTTATGTAGATGACTGTTTGAAATCTGTCGCCAGTGAAGAGAAAGGAATTCAGCTGGCACAGGAACTCCGTAGTCTTCTTGCTAGAGGAGGTTTTAGGTTGACAAAGTGGGTAAGCAGCAACCCACAAGTTCTTGCGTCCATCCCCATCGAAGAGAGAGTGAAGGATGTCAAGGAGCTCGATCTGAACTACGAGGCATTACCGACCGAGAGCGCTCTCGGAATGCAGTGGGATGTTGAACTGGACTGTTTTGGCTATAAAATCAGTCCCAGCGACAAGCCATTGACAAGAAGAGGAATACTTAGTGTCTGCAGTTCTATCTATGATCCACATGGGTTTGTGAGTCCGTTCACTCTGAGGGCCAAGGTTTTCATACAGGATCTATGCCGAAGAAAGCTGGGCTGGGATGAGTCACTTCCATCAGAGCACCTCAACAGTTGGCAACAGTAGAAACAAGAACTACCCGAGATAGAACAGTTTAGGGTGAATAGGAGTATCAAGCCCTATGGTTTTGGAGAGGTAGTCAAATACCAACTGCACCATTTCTCGGATGCATCAGAAGTAGCTTACGGAGCGACAACTTATTTGCATATGACAAACTCGGAAGGCGACAAGCGGTCTTGCCTTCTTTTGGCCAAGTCTCATCTAGCCCCCCTGAAAAAGATGACTATACCAAGGTTGGAATTGATGGGTGCCACACTCTCCATCAAACTTGATGCGATGGTTCGTAGAGAGTTAGATGTGTCATTAGAGGATTCAGTATTTTGGACAGACAGCACCATAGTACTGCAGTATGTGAAGAATGAGGAGCGACGGTTTCTCACATTCGTGGCAAATAGAGTTGCAGTTATCCATAGCGGGTCATCACCCAGTCAATGGCATCATGTTGTGTCTAGGCTTAATCCAGCCGATGATGTTTCAAGAGGACAAACAGCTGAGGAGCTGCTTACTAACAAGCGATGGCTCTATGGACCCGACTTCCTTTGCCTGGAAGATAGTGAATGGCCAAAATCGCCAAGCCTGAGAGATCTACCAGATGAAGATCCAGAGATAAAGCCAGACAAGGAGGTGGTTACTGTATGTGCTGTAAACAAGATGGAACAGGTCGATGTGGTAGACAGGTTGTTGAAGAGGCATTCCTCATGGCATAGATTGAAGAAGAATGTGGCGTGGTTGCTGCAGGTAAAAAACTACTTGCGAGCCAAGGCAAGGAAGCAACCGACAGTAGACATGCAGAAGCTACTGGCCGTAGATGAGATGACGAGAGCAGAGGATGCTATCATTTTGTATATCCAGAGAGAGTCCTTTTGTGAAGAGTTGAAGTTCCTCCAGAAGGACAAGGTAGACTCCAGAAGGTCAAAGGACTACATCAAGAAGACAAGTCCTTTATACAAGCTTGACCCAGTGTTGTCCGCTGATGGTATCATAAGGATTGGTGGTCGTCTGAAGAACGCTCCAGTAGACGAGGGAGTGAAACGTCCGGCCGTGTTGCCTAAAGATCACCATGTAGTCACTCTGATTGTCAGACAATTCCATCAAGAATCGGGACACTCTGGAAGAGAGCACGTACTTTCCCTATTGCGTCAAAGATATTGGTTGATCAAGGCCAGGTCTACAGTCCGCAGTATTTTGCGTGATTGTTTTGGGTGTAGACGTCAATCAGCCACACCAGTCGAGCAAAAGATGGCAGATCTGCCATCTGACAGGGTCACGCCAAACAAGCCACCATTCAGTTTTGTTGGAGTGGATTGTTTTGGTCCGTTCATGGTTAAACCAGGTCGAAGCTTGGTCAAACGCTATGGGTGTATCTTTACCTGTCTAGTTGTTCGAGCCGTTCATATTGAAGTCCTACATACCATGGAAGCGGATTCTTTCATCAACACGTTACAACGGTTCATGTGTCGACGTGGAGAGCCGGAAGAGATCAGGTCCGATAACTGGTCCAACTTTGTGGGCGCCGAGAGAGAGCTTAGAGAAGCTACACAGTCCCTAGATCAGCAGAAGGTCAATGAGTTCCTCCTTCAGAAAGGGGTGAAGTGAAAATTTAATCCCCCTACGGCATCGCATATGGGCGGAGTCTGGAAAAGGCAGATTAGGACCACGCGAAAGCTGATGAATTCTCTCATGAAAGAGCAAACCATGTACGACGAGAGTTTGTCTACACTTATGTGTCTGGTTGAGTCTATCATTGGAAGGCCGATAACTACAGTGTCAGATGATGTGAATGACCTAGAGCCGCTAACTCCCAATCACTTACTTCTGCTTCGTGCAGGGCATGTCCTGCCACCTGGGGTATTCGACAAAAAAGATATGTATGGAAAGAGGAGATGGAGGCAGGTACAATAATTGGCCTATCTTTTTTGGAGAAGATGGATTCGGGAGTACCTTCCTATGCTGCAAGAAAGACAGAAATGGTTTGAGCCAAAGAGGAATATCCAGGTTGGAGACTTGGTGCTTGTCGTTGATAGTGACTTGCCAAGAAGTAAATGGCTTCTAGGACGAGTTGTTGAAACACATCAGGGAGGGGACCAGCTAGTCAGATCAGCCAAGGTGAAGACAATGTCATCTACCTTGATGAGACCAGTCCAGAAACTTTGTCTTCTGGAAACAGTAGAAAGATCTGAAACATAAATTGGTTGTTGGCCTCTACAAGTGTTTTTGTTTGTTTTATATTGTGTTTTCCAGTACATGTAGTTCCAAAGGTTAGAGTGTGTAGTACAAATAGCTGATGATTCATATGATTAGATCCAGAAGCTTTTCTTTTGTGTGTGTATAACTTGTGTTATGATGTATAATTGAAAACCCTAAACCACCAGTGGAAGTCAACTTAAAGGGGCACTCACATTCTCCCTTATTTTTTGTATGATTTAGGTAAATGCCATTTTGGGGTTGGTTGTGACATTTAAGGGGTCGGGATGTTGGGTCAGAATGTTTCGTTTGTGTAATATGCTAATTAGGTTAACTTTTTGTGTATCTGTATTCTTCGTCAAGAGAGGGCGCTATTGCACACCACCCTGAAACAAGTCAGTTGGGTTAAAACGTTTAGATAACGTCAAACTTTTCATGTCAACGTCACTTTTCGTCACGCAATTTGTTGTTTTGGACAGCCCAAAGTCGTTAGTTTAATAATTTCTAAATCCTTATATGATTGTAAGACATATATAGAACATGGCCATCTAGATATTTGTGGGATAAAAGTAATATTTCTGGGTTAATTTATTGGGGAAACTTTGTGTAAAAGTGTCATGTAAAAATAAGTGCATATAGACTTTAATATACAACATTACATGGGATTCGCACATGTCTACAGCTAATTTACCACTAACTGGACATTTGTAATATTGTTTTTGTGTATCAATCCTGATTTGTATTTGTTATTCTTTGTTTTGTTTATGTAGATTAAACCGTGTTACGTGTTACGTGCTTCATGCTTCATGTTTCGTGTCTACGTGATTAAAGATGCGAGTATACTGTTGCTGATACATGATTGTGTACTAGTCATTCGTCATTAAGTCAAGTTCACTGGAACTTTTAAGTGCCATCTTTTACAAAACCCTCTCACGTGACCGGTCCCTCTCCTAATTATCTATGCATAAGCATGCGCAATATCACCAATAAGTCCGTATTTCATAAAACTAAATTGGTTCTTTACAGAAACGACACTTCCCCGAATAACTTATTTTTGTTTGCATTTTCTTTTCATTGTTAATAACATTCCCATTTCAGATCTTCCACACCACACAAAAAAAGCTTATCAAAGGGTCCATGAGATTAGTTTTTTCTTAGGAACACATTTTTGTCACTTTCCACTCCTCTTAAATATGTGAAAACTATTTGACATCCCTTTTTGTTTCGCCTGAACTTTGAAAGAGACTATGCAATCACTTTGTCTTTCCGTATAAATGTAGTATGTATGTTTGTATGTATGTAGTATGAATTTGTGTGTATATCTGTGGTATTTTGGTTAAAGTTTCGTAACATTGGCCTTATTTCCACAGTTGAAGTCCAACTGAAACCATACTGGAATCATAGATGCAACATGGAAACCTGCATATGATAATGATGTCAAAGGTCACATACCAAGGTCAAAGGTCAACTGAGGTCAAGTTGTAAAATAGGCTGAATATGTAAAATGGGTCTCATTGATGACAAATTGAAGACCAAGAGGAACCAAACTTGGGTAGTTTATGCAACATGCCAACCTTCATATGATAATGATGTCAAAGGTCACATACCAAGGTCAAATGTCATCTGAGGTCAAGTTGTAAAATAGGCTGGAACCAAACTCATTGCAACCTTCATACTGATAAGTCACTTTATAAAGATAATCGTAAAAGCAGGCGAGACGCATGGTTCGAGAACCATGCATCTTGTTGGTTAATTTAATTCAGAGGTGCACTTCTTTAAACATTTAAGAATGTGCCATGCTTTTCCGGACATTTGGGGGTGATATTTACGGAGCTCTGGAAGTGGCATCTGACTTGTTCATATACTGACTTATTTTATCTCAGGATTACGACAAAATACAGGCAAGATGACGACATCCTGAGATAATTTGTTAGGGGATGACGACATCCTCAAAGTAGGATGACGACATCTCGTCATAATTTAATATGGCATGACGACATCCTGAAAATAGGATGACGACATCTTAAGACAATCTCTTCTGGCACGATGACATCCTGAGATAGTTTATTAGGGGATGACGACATCCTGAAAATAGGATGACGACATCCTGAAAATAGGATGACGACATCCCGAGATAATTTATTAGGATGTGACGACATCCTGAAAGTAGGATGAGGACATCCTGAGATATCACGAGGTGCATTGAATCCATCTTGGAAGCGCACATGACCTCTCATCATCAAATAAATACCATGAATATACAGCGATATGATAAATGTTATACAAGCCGCATGTCCACCTGTGCGTTTTCAAGATGGCTTCAATGCACCTCGTGATAAATTATGTCGTGATGTCGTCATCCTGCTTCCAGTTTAGCGTCATCCCATAACAAATTATCTCAGGATGTCGTCATCCTACTTTCAGAATGTCGTCATCCCATAACAAATTATCTCAGGATGTCGTCATCCTACTTTCAGAATGTCGTCATCCCATAACAAATTATCTCAGGATGTCGTCATCCTACTTTCAGGATGTCGTCATGCCATAATAAATTATATCAGGATGGCGTCATCCTATTTTCAGGATGTCGTCATCCCCTGATAAACTATCTCAGGATGTCGTCTTCCTCATTTTAGGATGTCGTCATCCCCTAATAATTTATCTCAGGATGTCGTCATCCTATTTTCAGGATGTCGTCGTCCAATAATAAATTATCTCTAGATGTCGTCATCCTACTTTCAGGATGTCGCCATCCCCTAATAAATCATCTCAGGATGTCGTCTTCTTGCCTGTATTATGTCGTCATCCTGAGATAAAATAAGTCAGTATCTGATGAAGTCGGATGGCACTTGCAGAGCTCCGTAGATATTGCTGTGATGTCATTTCAGAAAGACACTATTCAGTTTAGGTTTTTTGTTCAAATGTGAACCAAACAATATCACTAAAATTACTGCCATGATCACCGCAGAAAATAACATTTACAACAGCAAGATATCCAGCATTCTGTAAACTTTTTTGTGCTGAAATAGCTGAAACATAGAGATGTATTGCCTGATTTGACATCACACTTTTGCTAATGAATATGGAAATTGTCATTAGCATTAATACCAAGAAGGCACAAAATACCCTTAAAATGGCAAAACGAAAATTGAAAATAAGGTTATATGGGACAAAAAAGGTGCATTTCAAGGATTGCATTAAAACAAAATGACATTGCATGAGCCCTTTAAATCTTACTTTGAATGATTTTTGTCCGTGAAAACAAGATAGCCTTTTGCGAGTTCAAATGCAGACAATAACACGTACGATCCTCAAACTGTGGTGATATGACAAATTTCGTTAAAATGGTACTGTGGGTGACCAGCACGCTCTGTGGTGAGCAAACCTGTAAAGGTAATTGTGCGATTAAAGCCAACCTGAATCCGTTGCCTGTCGAGTATCAGATTATGTCACTACACCATGGTTGCAGGGTATCTTGTTAAAATTATAGAAAAATTGTTATGTGATAACTATAGTAAATATAAGTAGACAAGCAAACCTCGTGTCCTTTTTCACCGACTATCCTATGTTACACCTGTCACTAACCATGAGAACAATGGACGATCAAAAGACATAAAGGAGATACCGCCCTCCTAGGTAAAGTTGTTCACAATTATAGGCCTATAGGCACCTTCGCTGGTACGAGTTACCTATTGGTCACCATTATAGCAATTCTTGTGTTTATAAGTTGCTTTCATCTTTTTACATGTACCAGTTGTGCTCGGCTAGCTCATGAGGGCCCTATTCATTGCCACTTGTATGGCCTTTCTACGCTTGGTTGGCAAACTGCATCTTTTGCCAACCAGGGGTTGCAAAACTATGGAAGGTCCAAAACTGCAAAATGAAGAAGACTTATACAGATAACCAAAATATTATTTGATACTTGGAAATACAACATCGTCAACAAACCTGCAACATAATTTCTACACATGCCTTTTGAGCAGTGGCGTCGCCAAGGGGGGGGGGGGGGGGGGGGGGGGGGGGGGGGGGGGGGGGGGGGGGGGGGGGGGGGCAGGGGGGGGGCACGTGCCCCCCCCCCCCCCCCTGGAAAACCTAGTGCCCCCCCGAGTGCCCCCCCATCTGAGATTTGGGTTGGTAAAAAAATATATATATATTTTGTTATATTCAACTCCCATCATCTGAGTTGGTTAAATAGCAATTTCTGGAGATATCTTCAGATCGAATTTAGCATCAAATGTGGCACCATTTTGCATCTAGCCCATCCTCCGTATGCGAAAATTTTCACCCCCTCCCCTTAGACCCCTCCCCCAGGACGGCGATCCGTATCCACCTAAGTGCCCCCCCCCCCCAATCAAATGCTGGTGCCCCCCCCCCCCCTGTGCCCCCCCAGACTGAAAAGTCTGGTGACGCCACTGCTGCTTTGAGTATACATTAAAGGCGTTATGAGGACGTTTTTTCTGGAAAAACAATGGAAAAATAGATGCCAACCCCGGCTTCAACTTATGCGCTTGCGGCAGTTCATATTAAATGGCGTCAATGTTTACAAACAAAAGAAAGGCCAATTAACCTCGGTGAAGGGCAAAAACACTAATATTGATTCACATTAAATTTCCAAAGTAAAAACGAGATCTGATCAGAATACCACTTTTAAGTGAACTCTCCATAAACATTCAGGCATATCTTTTTAAATAAAAAGTTGTATTTTGTTTCCAAATAGTGAAGTGAGCACAATATTTTACACCAGTGATACGATACAACGAGCTAGAAGCAGTGCATTTATCTCGCCAGTCAACCAGTGCAGCCTTGCTAGTGGTTAAAAAAAAACACGAGACAACAAACTGGTCATTCATGATGCTGAAAAGGTTTAAAGTAAAACTAAAAAGGATGAGATACCTGTTCAGGTGGAAAATGGAAAGTGGAAGGTAAAATGAAATTCTCTTGCTGTGGTAATTTTTGTGTGAAGGATGAAAAATTACTACTTTAAATAATTGGCATCTTCTCCGCAACCTTAAGTGCTATTTGTCATGATTTTTAAGTATTTGAAAAAAAAAGCTCTCAGGTTTATTCTGATACCCAAACATCAAAATCTACCGATCCTTTTTTTTAAGCCAAATGTTTTAGGGTTGCAGTTTTTTGGGGTCACTCTGTATATCTATCTTTTATTCGATCATATTTCGTTCGCGAAAGTATGCCTCTACATATACACAATGTGATAAAGTAAAGTGGCTTATATTGTCCCCATTTTCATAGCTATTTTAAAGAACTTCCGGGATTTGTTTTCTATATCAAGTCTTATCACTTTAGTTATTTGTCGTCTCTACAAACATCCTACATGTATATAAAAAAAAAATTCAACAACCTTAACATATTAATATTCACTCAATGAAAACATGTTAATCAATTCTACTTTAGAGCCTAGCTGGAGTTACCCAGCCCTGAGTTTTATCATTGGGTTGTCTATTAGGGCTGGAGCGCATTTTTCTCAAAACTTGTAGTATTTGCAATAAAAATTTGGAAAATGTTCAATTTTGTCCCCGTTACACACTAATTGCAACTGCAACTCACCCCAAACTTGCCTGGAATAACCATTACACAGGTCCTTGAAGTAAAAAACGATCCACGATGAAGATTCAGCCTACAATTGCAGTGAAAACAGGAGGAATAACCGCTAACTTGACAACCTTGCTGGATTGGCCAGGACCGCTATTGGTTTGTGCACAAAAAAAATTGTGTACAATGAATGGCGGTCGATTAACAGGCACAGAGAGCGATCGCTGTCAACTACTCGTTTTGCCGGCTGCGCTGGCTGTTGGCGCATGACGTCACGCGGAAGCGTAACACCCGATGACTGTTTCATGCACTAGTATAAGGTTTACCACTCGCATCACAGCTTTGGTACTGGAACCGCAACCAATAGTGCATGAAACAGTCATCGGGTGTTACGCTTCCGCGTGACGTCATGCGCCAACAGCCAGCGCAGCCGGCAAAACGAGTAGTTGACAGCGATCGCTCTCTGTGCCTGTTAATCGACCGCCATTCATTGTACACAATTTTTTTGTGCACAAACCAATAGCGGTCCTGGCCAATCCAGCAAGGTTGTCAAGTTAGCGGTTATTCCTCCTGTTTTCACTGCAATTGTAGGCTGAATCTTCATCGTGGATCGTTTTTTACTTCAAGGACCTGTGTAATGGTTATTCCAGGCAAGTTTGGGGTGAGTTGCAGTTGCAATTAGTGTGTAACGGGGACAAAATTGAACATTTTCCAAATTTTGCAAATACTACAAGTTTTGAGAAAAATGCGCTCCAGCCCTAATAGACAACCCAATGATAAAACTCAGGGCTGGGTAACTCCAGCTATTTAGAGCCAGTATTTACAAGCACATTTATGTATTTCTTCGCGGTAGAGCTATATTCGACGTTGCATCAGATTAGTCCACACTGTAAATAGTCTGACTGATAGCAGCCAATCACTTCAAACCTCATGCTGCAATGTTCGTTCCATGCAATGGGGTGAATGCGCAGGAATCTGGTGCGCAAGGCAAACGGGAAACGCGTGGTTACCAGGGTGTTCATGTCATTGTTACCAGGGAACTGTAAACAAATTGAAGATGAGAATAGCATGCATTTGTTAAAGATTAGAGTTTGAATTTATTAGCATTGGTAACAATGGTGTTACAATAGGTAGCGTACGACTTTTGACCTTTTCGGTATTGAATAACCCTACCTTCATTGGTGTGCCGTCAGCATCAGACACGTGATCCCAGGACTGACGGTCATTGCTGTACGTCACTTGGTACTCGGTCACCCTTTGGTCGTTATCTCCGCGCCCCTGGGTGATCAAACCAGTAATGGTGACTGTGCCATTGAAGTCAACCTGTATCCATGGACTGATATTATCAGTGCTATCATCGTTACACCATGCTGCAGCGTATCCTGTTGAACGTAAAAACGTTTGCTTAATTTCCACGTTTAAGTAAGTATCTCCGTGATTTTTCATATTTTTGAAAACAAATTTGAGTATGATGTTCTTCAACGACAATTTTTTACAGCATTGACGCAATGATTCCTAAAGAAGAAGAGCTTTGTTAATTGCGCTTATTTCAAGCTCAAATTGAACAGTCTGCTCCTTATTCAAAAGAAGAATTAAATAAACTTGATAACTTAGCTTGGACTGCGTTATTTGTTCAATGTCTGTAGTCTCATTGTAAACTTGTTGAATACCAAGGATTGATGACATGTTAACATTTATTTCTTAGAGTACCACATCCAAAGAGCACGGGTTTCAATCTATACTCAATATTTCACTCAATGGCAGGAAAGCTGTATAGCTAAAAAAAAAATACCTTGAGTATTAAGCCTGGCCCTCGTTGGGGCGTGGTCAGCGCGGTTTGCCCAAAAAGACGAAGCTGTGATGCGTTCATCCGGGATGCGACCATCTTCCATCCCAAGAGGTCCCTCAACAGAGCAAGAAGAGTCGCCTGAGGAATAAATGCACAAATACTGTACTGTGATGGAACCGCGTTTGCACTCAAGCGGTACGCTCGCACTCAATTTTCCTTGGTCCTATAAGTTAACTAGAGACAAGTTTCCCCAATATATTTGGCCTAACCAGAATACTTTTTTTTCGAATTACACTGGACCAAAATGTGAAATATATTGGTGTAAATTCGAAATTAAAGTTTCTCAGTACAGCCAAGTTACCAGACCATAAAGTGTGATACTCATTCACATTTATTTTAATATCTAAAAATTAAGGAAACCAAGATAGTAACTAAAGTATTTCTTATTTCAACTACATCCTTTTTCCACAGATAATTCTGCCCCTTGAGCAGTTTTTCATTCAATTCTTTTATTCAATCATTTTGTTTGTTAATAATTTGTAATTTCTCCACAGTATTTAGTATCGTTCCAATTCTTTTTTCCTCAGTTCACTTTTCGACCAGTTCGGTTAACTCAGTGCATTATTAAAAATTATTGTGGAAAGAATTCGCTGTGAACACAGTCCTCAACTTAAGAGGTGTGTATTGGCAGCTTATGTTACCCATCAAGTACCAGGAAGGAAAGGGATGAGTACACAACAGCATCGATCTCAATCAGTCATCTTCATTATTTCTTATTAAGGGGAGGGGTCCGCTAGTGTACTCACCAGTGCAGTTCAGCCATTGCTGTATCTCCTCAGGATCACTGCTGATCAGAAAGGTGTCATAGTACGTCACTTCGTAGGGTCTGTACGGTACGAAGGTGCTGAAGCCACCCATTCCGATCTCCGTGCACCCACACGGGTCCACGGCTTGAATCAACCAGCGGTAGCGGCCGGTCTGTGGGTCAGGCTCCTGGGTAATGGTGCATGGCGTTGCTTGGAAATGAAAGGACGTCGAAAAATATCTTATTTGTTTCACAGTCTTCAAGAATTCAGCCTCCTCCCCGAGGAAGACAGAATTTCCTGCATTATGAACATTAATTTTTAATGAACCTTATCATTGCAAGATGGTGAAATAAGTGTCATTTTCAAGAAAAGAGCAATTTTGTATTAGTACTAACGGTAGTTCGGACCGAACCATCACTGTGCGAAAACGTCTTCTTTTTTTTTACAAACATCCGTTGGCGCGAGCCAGCTATTTATTGACTGGATGAATGGATTTTTCCCCCACGATTCAGGTATACCCTGTGACCTATGAGTTATTTGCACGACAAATTCAGCTGTTAAGGTTTTTTCCGTGCTTTTGTAGCAACAGTGGACACAAAACATTAAACATGCCAGTAGTACGATGTCTGCTATAAGTTACTAGCCCTTAAATCGGTCAATTTCATAAAATTACCAAAGTTTAATTGAACTAGTATATACCTTATACAGTATTTTATGGTGATTTTTGTTTTTGTCGGATGGACATGAGTAAACCCTTTGTACGTTCATTGTAACAAAAAATAAAATAAGAAAGGATATCCGGCTGAATGAATAGCAATATTTGCACGTATTACTATAAATTAAAAAAAAGCTGACATTTTTCCATAAAAATCCATAAATTTATTCCATTTTGTAACTCGTAAAAACAAGAATGAATCCATTCAATCTATATAAAGGTATTTTTCAATGGTGCGTGGACAAACAAAGAAATTTCTCCTTTCTGCGAGAATTTGGCATAACACAAGGTGCTGTTCATGGTGATAATATTATTGTCTATATTTGTCAGCTACTGAAATATTCTTCCTTACCTTGAGTTTCCTTTAAAAGCAGGGCGAGGGAAACACACTCAACAATCACCCAAAATAAAAAGCCCTCTGTAAGTCCTGCCATTGCTTCCAACAAGCGAGCTGACGCGAAAATGGCTACCAATTTCACTCGGCGACACTCATTGAATTGACACTAATGCCGCTCAAACTGTTGCTATGATCCCCCGTTGCTCCCCTTCTCTGGAAAACAATTAAGCTGTTTGCATGGAAATACCAATATAACCTGTCTTTTGACTAGAAATCTCTTTTAAATTACGCGAACAGCAGTGAAATTGGCTACCATGCAGCTTCACTGAGGCAACACTCATTAAAATGACAAACTGTCTCTTTCAATTCCCCTTCAACATCTCTGAAAAACAATTAAGGAGTTTCCATGGAAACCGTTTCCTAATTACAATATAACCTGTCTTTTGACAGGAAATCTCTTATAAATTACGCGAGCAGCAGCGAAATTGGCTACCATGCAGTTTCACTGCGGCGACCGTACACTCATTGGAATGACATTCATGCCACTCAAACTGTCTCTTTCAATTCCCCTTCGACATCTCTTTAAAACACTTAAGGAGTCTCCATGGAAACGTTTTCCTAGCAACAATATGACCTGTCTTTTGACTGGAAATCTCTTTTAAATTATGCGAGCAGCAGCGAAATTGGCTACCATGCAAATTCACTGGGCGACACTCGCGATGCGGCACAAGATCATGACGGAAATCCTGTGTTGTTCATGTTTTCTTATTCTACTTGTCTTATGTCTGGTCGTGTTCACAATCATTTGTTTTATACCCAAATTGCCAGTCCGTCGGCAACAACGTCGCAACTAACGAGTAGAGCACAACTTATTGTCCAATACGTGTCAAAAATCATCCACATTGACTTTTCTTGAACTGCAAGTACTTTTACATCCGTTATTAAATCCATAACGAAAGTTGGGCCGTGTTTTTACCAGCCAATGTGTCATTCAGAAATAAATAAGTATGGAGTTCTTGACAAATTGCAATTACAAAAACAGCATTTTCAGTGTGAAACTGTAAAATAGCACATCGTCCATGAGCAAAAGCTCCCTTTAATATTAGGCCCAGGCGCTTGTACTGGGGGGCTGGGAGCTTTAGGTCTACATTTCAGCACGCCTCCCTGCAAAATGTTCAGGTTCCACCCATAGCCCTCTTAAAATAAATGCTCTAGAACCGCGCCTGATTAGGCCCCACCCTACCAGGTCCGTGACCGGGATTATTTGGTACACAGACGAGGCTGTTATGTGATCATCTGGGATGCGTTTATCCTCCATTCCAAGCGGTTCTTCTACTGAGCAATCTGCAAAATACATGTTTAATATAACAGTATTAATAAAATATATGAAAAGTGAACCGAAATGCAAACACATCTACTTTCTTGCGAAGTACCAAATTAATTAGACCAAATGGTTACATTATGTTCCTGCATCCTCGTTATAACCACGGTAGTCTTACTGGCGTATTTGGTGAGACAGTACCCCGAGAACTTTCTTGTTTTGACCTTGTGGGATTAGTTTCGAACACTTCACAATATATACTGACATATTTTCTGACCACGAAAACCGTAGAATGTACCTCCTACCCTCCCCCAAAAGGCGGCGCCCTGTACCGTCCTAAAAAGCGCTTTTCTATAGGCTAAGAAAGTTGACCCTGTAATTCCAGACATGAACATTCAGTGCGCTGGAAAAGGTCACGAAGTTTATGCGGAGAATCTGATTGGCTGAAGATTAGTGTCAATCATTCGGCCTCAGTTTGCAACGTATATTGCCCTGGCTGGCGGGGGTGCTTTGATGTCGCTTTTGATTTGCTACTTGGTGGGGAACAAGCTATTTCCACCAACGAATGCTTTTTGTGATGGAAACTTGTAACATCAGCAACGTAATAAAATGTCTCACCGTTTTTCCTGTATAGTATTTCCAGCTATCTTCGTTGGTTAAAACGATTTTGTGATCGCTCAGTTCAAACTTTCTGGTAGTTTTGGAATAAGTAAAGCATCTGCAGTGTATACTCTCTTGAGGCAGGCCGCGGCACACCTCAAGTAAAGATCCGCGCTGGCTTGACCGAATCATGATATCGATATCTGACCATGGGCGTCGCAAGGATTTTTTTCTAGAGGGGGGCAAAGCACATTAGTTTCCCCCAAATTCCCTATATTTTCCAGCATTTTCCCGATTGATCTTTTTTCGAGGGTGGGCAGAGACATTTGCCCCCTCCCCCATCCCACCCA